TTCCCAGGCCAGCGAAAGAGAAGTGGGCTTCATGTTTTAAACACCACACTCTTATCTTTATATTAGGAAAGGAGTTAGAACAATACAGAAAGAGCAAATTGCATCTACTGGCTCTCAGCACTACATATTGTTCCTCTCTCACTTGGAGAAAATGTGCATATCCGCTTGCTGGCATAAGAAATAGCAAGCAAGAACTGTTTGCAAGCTAGTGCCATCTAAAGGGATTGCACTTACTGGCACGTTGCTGGCCAGACAACATCTCTTATGCTTTAAACTAATAATACATTGTCTCATCTGCTAAATTCTAGCCATCTGTTTTCAAAAGAAGGATGTTGTTTGGAAAAAAATACTCGGACTGAAGGCACTTTCAGGGTCCTTTGTGTATGTTGAAATATGGGGTTTAGCTATTTGATAACTTTATAGGTTCCTTATGAGTATTTTCTTAAGTTACGAGCATTGCTCTTTCATATGAAAGAAAATCAATGGAACTGCAAAATAATAAAAGGATTTAAAAAAAAAAAACTCCAAACAAGTATTTCTTCCTTGTGAAATACAAGGGTTTGAAAGTTCTAGGCTTTGTTGCCTACTTTGATTTTACGTTAGTGCTGCCTTTGGGAATGAAGTTCTGATGTAGACCTGTTTCAGAGAGTGGCTCATGTGTAAGTGAAGTGTTTTTTGAATACTTTGATGGGTTGCAATCCTTCTCTAGTCTGATTGCCGTGCAGGTCACCTGACAAGTGTATGGATGTGTAAGTTCCTTTCCTGGAGTCAAAGAAGATTGTTAAACCAACAGTTTGTTTGCACAGTATAGAGGATTTTCTATGAAGCCTGGCTCCGCAACCTGTTTTTAATTGCACAACTGTGACGGCATAAAAAGCAGGAACATGTTACAAGCCACAGAGGAAGAGGGGAAACATGCTAAGTCAGTTCTGCCACTGGAGTGATGGTATTAACAAAGCATTGCTTCTGACCGCTAAAATAAATTTTCCTTTGGCTCCATCCACATGGCCAGTCCACACAGCACAGGCCTGACTTTACTCTACAGCAGGCACACTGTAACAACACAAGTGATGGTGCCTCTGACAACAGTATCAGTTATTGCAGTATTTTAGGCCCAACTTTTGGAAGACAGTGTCATTTAAAGGAGCATTTAAAGGTACAATGAATTATAAAGCACATGAGATGCTTGAAGTAGCAGAAATACTTGACTGGATTTTTAAATTCTTTTTCAAACTGAGCTCCGTTCTCTGCTTCATTAAGCACGCATCTAACTTTGCAATAGAACGTATTAGTTCTAGACGTGCTAGTAGTTCTGTATAATGCAGTACACCTCAGTGCAAGCATACTAGGTTGGATCTTAAAGGCCATAGAGTTGACACTCAGAGGGTTTAATTATACAAGGTGCTCTGAAGATGGTCTAAACCAATTAATTTTACGTTATGTTTGCATAGGTTAGAAGTTCACATTTGGTCAGTTAACACAGGTCACTGGATGAGTGGTAATTTGCTACAGTACTCAGTGGTCTGCAATCATATGAGCGTAACCCTAGAACGTGGGGTTGCTTTGCACCATTGTGGTGGTTAATGTCCAGACACATCAAGGAAAGGAGGTTTCTGTGTTGTGGAATGCTTACGACCTTGTTAGTGGTCTGGGATGGTTTATTTTAAGACAGTGCCTTACTGAGGATAATTAATATTATCCCTATTAATGCGCACAACTTCTGTTGTTCTAAAATCTTTTTAATGGGTTTCATAGTTTTACTGCAACTATTGAAATCATGTTAAAACATCTGGCGGGTGCTGGAAATGCTGCTATTATTCAAGAAATGGTGATAATAATGTATCCTATCTATTTAAGTTCTGGTCATTTAAAATATTGTTAATATATTCTCCTTTTAGGGTGATGTATTGAATACCAAATACCAGGTGGATCTTGGAGATGGCTTTAAGGCAATATATGTGAACCTTACAATGACTGGAGAACCCATTCGTCACCGTTACGAGAACCCTGGGATTTATCGTGTATCGGTTAAGGCTGAGAATGTTGCTGGGCATGATGAGGCCGTGGTGTTTGTCCAAGTTAATCGTAAGTCACCTCTTTGGTTTTCTTGCTTTTTAGCTTCATAAAAAGCTCATGACAACTAAAGCTCAAAAAATTTACTAGTTATAATTAGGAAAAATATATTCTTTTCGATAATCTCATACGGTCATGCCTTGCTCTGTGTTATTAATGCAGAGGCTTGTAAACCTAATGTATTAGGAGGTCACAGCTTTCTTTAGATTTGGGAGAAGGATGGTCTATTAGTCTTTGAACAGCATTAAGTAGCACACATTGCTCAGTTCAAATCTCAGGTTTGACCCTCGTCCTGACTCAAGACCCCATTGGCAATCAGCAGCTGCAGTATAGCGCTTCGGGCTACGTCCACTGTGTGAAGCAAGTGAACAGACATACTGAGAAATATATCTGCTCTTGCATGATTTTCGAAAAGTATGTATTGGTGGAAGAATTAAAGTCTCAACGTTTCTGAAAGTCAGGTTACTTGTTGAAGTACTTGAATCTAAATTTAGATAATTAACGTTATCCTCACAAAGTTTTCAAGTGTTACTTGAATTTAACTGTATGTTGGCAGGCACAATCACTTGACAAAGAACTATCCATCCCTTCTTAATTAAGACCCAAATGAAAACCATCAAGTAGATTTAAAAGAAAAGAACTGAACTACACAGCACTGGGAATATCGTGCACCATCAGAAGCTTAATGTACCTCAGTCATCTCAAAATTGAAATTAAGAAGGAAACTCCTAACTGGAACTGAATTTTCCTCTTCCTTCAAGATTCAAGACAGCTGTGGCTTTGCCTTTTTTCTAGTTTGTCCAAAATTCAGAAAGAAGTAACATCAAGAGAAAAGATACTCATCTTGTGTTCTCCAGGTATCGACTTCCCACTGATGTGAGTGGTCTCTTCTGTCGCTCATCACAGAATAGTAGAAAGCCCTGAAAGCACATACAAGGCTGTGCACGAATCCGTATGTTTTATGCCAGCCTATCTAGTAACTGCTGACATGTCTGTATTTTACTATACAGTGTCCCTGAATCCAGAATTTTTCCAGTTCTGCCTTGATTAGGCAGATGGAGACCAATCCATTACTATTAATGGCAAAACTGCTATTGAAATCAAATGGAAAGGATCAGAAACTAATTCCCTACCTCAGCTGCATTATATGTTTCTTTATTTGTTGTATTGTGTTTTGTTTTTTAAATCTGGTAGTGCCATTTTACAGCTGCAGAGTTGGAGAATTTACTTAAGACTTTTACTTTTTAGGAGCTTGTAGGTGCTGAGAGGTAGATTAAGCAGAGAAGTAGCTGGTAGATCTGTACAAGCAATGAACAGCAAACACTCCGTGTCACATTCTCCAGGGAGAATTTCTTCTATTGTTCAGAGAATGTCAAGCAGTAACAAGCCCTGATGGAAAGCTGAACAATTACTTTCTCAAAACGTGCTTCTGATTTGGCCTACATCTGGTTAAACAGTGAAAAGAAAAGATGCCAATTCTGTTTTATGCATTGGATTTACAGATCGCAGAGCCTGGGGTGGTTTTCAAGAATAAAATGACCGCTGCCTTAAAGGACTTTGGTGTTGAAATACTCAGACAGGACAGATTACTAAGAGCAGATTTGTTGGTTAATTTCTGAGCACATCTTGAGCTTGCCCTTGGTTATTGCATATGATACGGAAGGATCACGGACGGATTATATCCTGCCTGCTTGAATAGATGTTTGGTATCTGATTTACACAGTTTAGTTTTCTAAGTAAGTGACAATATTTGAGGAAATTGGCTGGCAGTAATTAAACTGATATTTCAAAATACCAGAGAAATGTTGGTTCAAGGTCATTTTTCATTGTGGTATATCAATTAAGAAGGCAGAATTGTCCATAAAAGTTTTCACTCTCTTTCCTTTGGATGTATTCCCCGTAGATTTTATGAGGGACAAATGATGAAGGCATTATTTTTGGCTCCTGTCAAGTTCTATTCGTATGGAATGTCCTGTATTGCAGAACAATTACATAAATGGCGCTTTCTGATGAAGAGTACAAAATCTACAACTTGATAATAAACTGCAAGAAAAACTAGAGCAAGTTTGCTAGTACAAATAAGTGTAGACAACCCAGAATTAAAAAAAAAAAAAAACTGAAGAAGGACTAGACATACATTTTCTTTGTGTGATTGAAACCATGACCCCTGTGGTGTGTGAATGTAAAAGGCTGAGAGTTTTTGGGGTGTAGAAATTGATATGGAGAATCAAGAAGCTTTAAAAAATGTACTGAAATTGTAGCTTGGTTTAACAGAAATCATATGAATCAATTTCATTCCTGATTATACATTCAATTCTATCATAATTTTTATACAAATAAGTTTGTTCAGATACATTCTGGAATTGTGTAACTCAGACACACGGAAGGACTCACAATAATTATTAATAGATTTTTACTATATAGGAATGGCAAACTGTAAAATCAGGTGTGATTCAAGTGCCAAGCAACTGACTCTGTAAACAAATTTAAAAAGAAAGTGATCTTCTTCAGAACCAAAACCATATCTCAAAGTGATCAAGGTCCTCTTATAAAATTTAAATATATTGCAATATCAAAACAGTGATTCAGATTCCCTCCAGGCTTCTTTAATTTGCATCAGAAAGAAAACCTGTTTTGAAGAATAACATATTTGATGGAATTCCTACAGTTTCTGAATTTTCCCCAAAACACCAGCAATGGGAGGAGTATTTTAATTCAGTTTCATAAAGAAGGTATTAAAGAAACCAGTTGTTTAAACACCCAGTATGTCTTGAATTCACTTAAATGTGTAGAAAGTCATCAGAGAAAATTCAGAATAAAAACAGAGTATCTTATGTTCCAGTGAAGCAGCAAATAGTCTGGTAGAAGTGAAGTGGATAAAAGGAGGCTGTGTAGAGTGTAGGCTACCCGCTCTCGGAGAGGTTTAATCTCCTAGTCGGAGTGAATGGGCAGATTCCGTTAATGAAAGACAGTAAGAGAAAGGCCTTGGACTAGTGTAAGTACCTTTAAGTTTGAACTGAGATGAAAGGCATTTGAGTGAGTTAAAAGACACTTAAAACAAGAAGTAATGGGTTAGTATTCATTCTATGTAATGAATGCATTTTGGACTGTACAGTGCTTTGGTATCCTGAATAGAAACTGCAACTTAACTTAAGAATTTCTAGTTATTACTTTATAATATTATAAATCTTTTACCTTTGGACATTCTGAAAAAGATGTAAACAGATATTTTGTTTTAACGGTGTTATTTTACTGTGAAGCCAAATACATGTACAACATTAGGAGGCACATAAAAACATTTTAGTGATGAATTTCTTTTATACATTTTATGTAAATACTTATAATAATGTTTTCAACCTTCAAAGGCAAAAAAGTTCAGAAAGGCGTAAACTTATTCTAAAAGCCCATTTTAGTGTACAGAAGTTATCTATTTTGATTTGCAAAGAAATACTGCCACTGTACATATTTATTTTAAAGTGTATATTATTGAGAGATTATGTATGATATGAGTCTAGCAGCTGATATTTTGTAGTGAAAATGAATAGTCAGCAACTATCCTTTTCAGTTTTCTGCTTTTCCTGTAGCAATTTGAGAGGTTTGTTAGATTTCTGTTTGTTTGATCTTTCATTGCTTAAACAAAAAAGCTGAGATTGCCTTTTCCCGTTTTTAACTGGGGTATATTTGATTTTAGTCTCTAGAACTGGACATGCACACACAAAAATACGTTGTAAGGGCACGTTCGTCTGTCACATTGCTCTAGGATTTTGTTTGTGATTTTTTTAAATTTAATTGAAATGCGATCCTTCCAAACATACCTTTCCACACAGATGTAGGAGGAGGAGGGAAAAATAAATTCAGGACCTAGTGAGGTCCTTGTGCAGGCCGTTAGGCGGGTGAGAAGCATTTGGTGAAAGAGACATTGGTAAATTGATGAACTCTTGTTCAATGACATTTTGGGAACTTTGTCCAGCTCCACTGCAGGCTATAAATTTGGAAGTGGTTCCAGTCATTGGCAGAAACCAGGAGGTGAATCTGACAGCCATCGTATTGCCCAAGAACCCTAATTTGACAGTCTTCTACTGGTGGATAGGAAACAATCTTCAGGTACATGAATGGTTTTGACTGAGATTATTTTCAACCTCTTTCCAATAAAGATTGAGTGACACTTTTTACTCTAACAAAAATACTATCATGTTATATGACTTCATGTAGACCATCTTTCGTTCCACATAGCCAGTTATATCCTCTGACAACCGTTATCTGAATCCCATTGTTTAATCACATATTTGAGGCTGTTCATTTTCTTTTATTGCTACTTATGTGAAAATTGAAATTTCCATTTTAGTTTAAATTTCTGGACCATTTCCTGTCTAAAAGGGTATCAAAATAGTAAGAGCATTCAAACAAGATAATGATATTTGTTTGGGGATAGAAAGGCTAGATACAAATATCCTCAAGTAATAAATATCCAAATATTTCTACTGGGAATATTTCTTGTCTAGCTGGGCTAATTCTTAAAAATTAATTTTTTTTTTTCATAATAGATAAGTAAAACATTTTCCTCATGAGAGAAAGAGCCATGTCTGAGGCAGGAACACTTTCAGATAAGCACAATTAACTTTCTTTTTGTAAATGTACTGTCTACCATAATCCTGGGCTGCATTAGGCAGAGTGTTGCCAGCAGGAGGAGGGAGGTGATCCTGCCCCTCTGCTCCGCCCTGGGGAGGCCTCAGCTGGAGTACTGTGCCCAGTGCTGGGCTCCCCAGTACAAGAGAGACGTGGCGCTACTGGAGAGAGTCCAGTGGAGGGCTACAAAGATGATGAGGGGACTGGAGAGAGAGAAAGGCTGAGGGAGCTGGGCCTGTTCAGCCCGGAGAAGAGAAGACTGTGTGCAAGTATCTCATCAACGTGTGCAAGTATCTGAAGGGGGGGTGTCGAGAGGATGAGGCCAGACTCTTCTCTGTGGTGCCCAGCAACAGGACAAGAGGCGACGGGCAGAAACTGAACCACAGGCAGGTCCACCTGAACCTGAGGAAAAACTTCTTGACTGTGAGGGTGACAGAGCACTGGAACAGGTTGCCCAGAGAGGTAGTGGAGTCGTCTTCGCTGGAGATATTCAAAACCCGTCTGGATGTGATCCTGGGCAATATGCTCTAGGTGACCCTGCTTGAGCAGGGAGGTTGGTCTAGATGATCTCCAGAGGTCCCTTCCAACCTCAGCCGTTCTGTGATTCTGTGATCTGTTCATTGTTATTGACTTGGCCGTGGTTAGAACAGGCAGGTCAATGCAGTGTTGTGGAGGGTTTTGTAATTCAAACAGGTGTGGTCAGGAAACAATATCTCAGCTCCACGTTGAAGTTACAGTAGGCTGATGAACTTCCATGGGCCATGCTGTAGGTTGACAGAAGTAATCCATTTGACCTTAACTGTAGCCCACATTTTTTGAGGCAGATGGCTCATTGAATATGATCATTTAAAGCTTTATGAGCCTGATTCAAAATCCATTTGTTTCAGTGAGATTTGAATCAAAGCCTAATGCTCTGCCAGTTATTCTAAAAGAAATATTTGCCCAATCTGGCAACTATTCTATAGATAAAGAATCCATTAAGAGAAAGGAACTTCCTGTGTTGAAAACTGTAATTGAGCAATTTAATAAAATATTGATTAGTGTTCCAGAAAATTCATGTGAAATCTTTTTTGCTGATATTTTTAATGGCTACCACTTCAGACATTATTCTCATGGTTCTTGCTAAAAATCTATTTTGAACTTTTTCCTGTTTTTTAAGCCACTTCTTACATTGGAGAGTTTTTTGGTGGCAAGGTTTGCGGAGATAGGTGAAGTCAGAGTTACAGTGCAAGCTTCCTGTGGGAACTCCATGCTTCAGGATTCAAAGGTTGTCCATGTTTTTGGTAAGACGCTTTACTCTCGTTGAATATTTTTGTTTGTCGCATGTACTTATGTTGTATACCCCTTAAACTGGCCCTTAGCAAACAGAACCTGTGGTAAAATCATTTCTAATGCCATTTTTAATTTCTAAAATTAAAGGGCTGAGCTCTTCATTAGGTAACCCCATGAAGTTGAATACTGTGTTTATATGGAAGGGTTTCCTGTGAAATCCTTTGTTACCTGTGCTTATGGAAAATGTTAGTCTGGTTCCTAAACCCTATACAGGACAATAGCACTAAAGTAGCATTTTGGCTTATGACTAGAGAATTTGTTAGAATGTCTAAGTATGGTAGTTTTAGTACTCTGAAAAGAGAAAATTTCATTGTGTATAAATTTTCAACAATAAAACCAATGTAAAACAATTGCTTTTTATCACAATATTTGAGGAAACCTGTCCTTTGGTTGTTTATCTGAGAGCGTAGATCAAAGATAGCTCTGTTGTAAATACCGTGTAACCCTTCAGCTCTTGTTTTGCCTTATGTTCTGGTGTGTTTTGCTGTGTCATAGAATGGGATGACAAGGTATGATATACCATGAGAAATGCAGTGCTGAGGAATTATTTCCGTTAGTCACATGGAGTTAGTGCTGTCACATGTAGCAGTTGCGATATCTAAAAAAGCTCCTTTTTATGCAGAGCTAAAAGCCTTCCTATATCCTAGAGATACACAAAATGATACATCTCTATTGTCTGAACAGTGAAAGAAGATTCTGTTATTTTTGCTTTTAGTATACTTATTAATTTAAAATAATGGTAAAGACCACACTCACGGTAAACACAGCTTTTATGAACCCTCCCTTTTTCTATGATAAATGGATTTAATGTTTATGCTACCACTTGTAAGCGCATCCATTTTTTTAGAAAGCTTTAAAAACATAACCTTATTAGTGTGACTGGTTCAATGACTTTGGCTTTCCAACATTACTTCTACTGTTAGCATTGGCAAATCCTGATACAAAGAGCAAGAAAGTACTGGTCATGAGGGAAATAAAAAAAAATCCTTCAGAAAAAAAGAAATTAAAATTCGATTCTGTCTGAGCTGTTCAGGAAGCCAGGTTTGAACCATTCATACAGTCCGAAGGATCTCTTTATCTGCTTTGCATTAAGTTCTTCATGTGTTCTTCCAATGAGCCTGTAAGGAGAAATGGGAGATTATATAGAGTCCTGTTTGCTGAGGAATAGCCCATTTGTAGCATTTCAGATATTTTGGACAATATCCACAAAAATGTTGTGAGTGTATCTTATTTTTATTCTTTCATAGAGTGCAGTAGTTAGCCTTAGGCATATCATTTCTGTTCTTATTTCCATAGCCAGTTTATGGAATACGTAAGTATTCATTTTGCATGAAAAAGAGGAACATGAAATGAGCAAAAAACAGATGTTTATGATTCAGTGAGACTAGAATCCATTGGCATATTCCCATTAAAAACAAAAGAAACCAACCCTGTTTGTTTGGTGTATTTTCTTAAGAAAAAGTCATTGGGAAGGTTATAATCCCAGAGCATGAATGTAAATCTTTTTCTTTTTTTTTTTCCTGTTGCCTTTTTATCTTTAGGCACAAATTTGATGATGTTGAGGAAAATACAGAAAGAAATTGACTGACTGACAGGAATGTAATCTTGCTTCATGCTGCCTAGACTATAGACTCCTGGGGGAAGGATTTGTCATTTTTTTCTTTTTGAACAACACATAGCAATAGGTTTCCTAGGTACTGCAACACTGCACATAAAATAATACTAAAAATATATTTTCAGCTTTTTTTCTACAAAATTGTTTTTGCAATCCTATATGTTAATTGTTCCAAAAATGTTTCTTTTGCTATTCCAGATCATTTTCATGTTCTTTCTCTGAAGTTTACTAAGCGCCTGGACACATACAACCCTGACATACCAGAATGGAGGGAAGACATAGGGCGAGTAGTAACACGACTTCTTGCAAAGGTGCTCTCTCAGATTGCTCATAAAATGTTCCCTCTCCAGTCATAAAGCTTGAAGGTTAAGTTAGTGCCTTCTCATTTAGAAAAAAGTAGGCAGAGCAAAACAATAAAATGAACCGCATGAGCCACATTGCGAATAGGTTTGAGCTTAGTGTCGTTTTTACATGCAGTCTATGGGTAATGATACTGCAGTACAGAAAGTTTAGTTCTAATACAGCCTAACTGGCAATTAATGCTATATATTGGTCTCTGGCATTTGGGATAGCCGTATTGGCAAATAGTGCGGACTCCAGAACAGGAAGAGTAGCTTAAACATGATATACGTAGGGGTTAACTAAAAGGTACTGTGTAATATAAAAGACTTGATCTTGTGGTAAAAACCAGAACAAAACAGAACTTACAATGTCATATGTGTAACTCTGAAAATTACATAAAATGCATGAGCATATATTTGCTACACCCATTTTTTTAGGTCGTGTTTGCACGTGAAATATGGATTGGGAACAGCTGATTCCTGTAGATGAAATACAAGTACTTATGCCAGTTCTGTGGCATAGGTAAAGAGCACTCCGTAAAAACAGAGAGCTCTAGAACTGTATTCTTCAGAGACACACACTGCCAACAATGGAGTACGCGCATGCTGACTTCTCTTGAGGAGAATATCACTGATTTGTGGGTTGGCAATGTTTTTAAAATGGTTACATGTGAAGAAATATTCACCTTTACTGTGCAGGTTTTGCCACCGAAGTCACTGGACTTAGCTTCTGAGTTTGCAGTAGTGCATATGGGAATTCAGGATCTGGGATTTTAACTTCATACCATTTCCTGCTTTTTTTAGGTTCACATACTATATGTCAAATCAAAATACATTTCCGCTTTTATCTGCTTAAACCCCGTCGATAACTAGCGTCAGTCAAACAACTAACTAAATCATCTACCAAAGTATATGAACAATTTAATGGAATTTCAGTATCTGTTTGAGAAACGCCCAGGGTGGTGGTGGTAGGGTTTTATCACTGTCTTATATAACGCAGGAAGAAACGTGGGACTAAAAACAAAGTTTGCAAAAGCTCATTTGGAAAGCCAGGCTGCATTTGACTTGCAGTGGGGGTGGGTAGGGTGCAGGTATTTGTAAAGAACAATTTCAGGAACTGAACCTAGATGCTTTAAATCGCTCTCTGGAAGACTTCTCTCTGCCAATTAAACACACTTGGAAAAGTAGCCTCGCTAAGCTGAAGTTAGGTAGAATGAATATGCTCTTTTAAGTCCACTAAGCCTGTGAATGGCCTGCAAAGAACCCTGAATCGTTTAGGATTCTTTTTCAAAGTCACCCTAAAAAAATGCAACCATTAGAGTTTTGCTAAAACTGCATACCACTTAGTTTTGTCTCTTTGCATGATGCCAGTAAAACATTTTGATGTGATAACAATGTTTAGCACTTCTAATCTGCAAAGAGCAGCTCACAGTTAATTAATATTGGGCTTTGTTTGTAATTTAACTTCATGTGTAATCCACTCTAAATAATAAGGATCTGAACGCTAAAGACTTAAAGACCTATGTGGAATTACTTACGTATTTTTTATAATATTAGAAGTGAAAAATTAAAGCACACTGTCCTGTAATTTACCACATACGTTTGTCTGCACAGGAAACTAATATACCTGAAGAAACACTTGTGACGGTTGTGAAACCTGGTCTGCCCACAACTGCTGACTTGCATGTGCTACTCCCAGCAAACGAACCAAAGAGGAAGAGGAGTGTAACTAGTGATAAGGTAATCCGAGAAATGTGTGTCTAGTTAGGACAAACTTCATCCTATTTTGAAATCAATGGCTGTACTATAGTTGTTTTTATTGGAATTAAGAGGTGCTCCCTAACCACGTGAAGATCTCACTCCCATCTGAAGAGACACGTAAATGCTAGGAATAGTTATGACTGTTGTGTTTAACTGTGTACAGTGCACCTTCTGCTTTCAGGGGCAGATCCTACCACATGAGAAGAGAGAGAAGCAGCAATTATCTATCATCCCACTCAGTGCTATCCTATGATAGACTGAGCATCAGTCCTTCTTGATGCCTTTGCAGACATACAGTACTTTTGCGACAGCAGATGTTGTACTCCCCAGCATAAACTAGTGCTTACTGGTATCAGTGTATTTCTCAAGATTAATTAATACTGAGATGTTTTTAAAACAGAAACAACAGTGATAGCATGCCAGTCTGTGAAGATACAGTAGAGCAAAAAGTGTATTTTGAACACTGGTGTTTCTAAAGAGGGAAGAACCATGTCTTAGATTTCAGATCCGAGTGAAGCAGAAGCTTAATAGTTGACCTATTTTGTAAAGAGGATCAAGCAGGTAGTTTCTGCCTTTATGAGCAAATACCCTTTTCAGTTACCAAGAAACCAACATAGTGAATGAAAACACAGCAGTGAAAATTAGACATAAGGTTAGATGCAAGATTCCTCTTCCCTGTTTCCAAACCATATCTCCTCTGTAATAAAAGGCCTTAGGCCAGTAGAAGATCACGTAACTGTTTGGCCCTTGCTTCTAATTTGTGATTCATGATACTTGTCCTTCAGGGCAGCTTGAAGTATATTGTCAATTATTATCAATCGATAATATTATCAATTATATTCAATTATATTCTGAGGGCTTTTCTATTTATATATATATGTGTGTGTGTGTACACATGTGTATGTATACATACACACACACATATAATATATATAATATATACAAAATAATATATATGTATTTACATATATATATGCACACGTGTGTGTGTGCGCATATATATATGTAAATACACATATATTATTTTGTATATATATGAAGTATTCTGCTAGTTACTCTAAGGAGTAAAGAAGAACAGTCACATGTTGCAAATGATTTGGGAGAACTTCTGTTCAGTGGGGCTATGGAAAAGAGTACTGTAATTTAGCAGGGCATAATTTCTATAATAAATAGTCCCCCCTTAAGACCTGACCTTGCACGGGCTGTCTGGGACTATAGGAGCACTGAAAAGTGAAAGTAATTGTAATCTGGAGAACAGTTTTACATTTCTGACACTGTTAAATTGGACCAGGTCACACCAGTGGTCATTGGAGATTACACGTGCAGAAAATAAGAGCAAATGAGGGAAAAAAGGAAGGCAGGAGCAAATATAGCGACCTATCCTATGTAATGAAGAAGTGAAGTATGCTAGTCTCAATCCCAGCGCTTTGATTGTTTTTTAGAGTGCAGGTTGTAGAGCCAGACTTCTGAGCAAGCTGCCTAAATTTCTATTTTTTTATTATTGCGAAGGGACACTACTTTAGTTGTTGACATGTGCATATAAATTTGTTGATTTAGAACTGAGTGGCACAAGTTTGATAAAATATGTGTTGTATCAGAATCCATTAGGACTCAGGAAACATCCTTAAAATATGCCCTGTGTAAACTTAAAGCAGTAACTGGTTAAGTCAATAGAAAAGGACTCATAGTAACACTTGTTTAGAGATGAATGTAACAGTAGAGAATCTTGAAATCCCTCAGCACTTCTTTCTTCTCATGCCTCACTGAAAGGATATTTATTGTGCTGCTGGTGCCAGTTCTCAAATCTGTGTTCTGGCATTATTGAGCGGTCTCTTCTTTAACTCAGAATGTTTTCTGCACATTGGGCTGAGGTGCCCCTAAAATCTTTACCTTAGACGTAGTTATGAATGTCTTCCCTTAAAGAGAACCCATTTGTTCTTGGAAGCAAACCTTTTAATTTTAGGATAATGTGTGATTTCAGAAGCTCCATTAAATTTCTCGTTCAGGCAGAGAGCACCTCCTTTGAGGAGTTTCTAGTGGCATTCTACATGGATTTATATGACCTGAGGCTATTTATCAAGTTCATTAGTGACCTGGAACAGAAGTCAGTACTGATAAAAGTAGCCAGCAATACAAATATTGTAAATAAGCTGAAAGTATAGTAGAAAGAGGAGCCCTTTGAATAATTCTGTAATTTGTTTCCATTCAGACAAAAGCCCACTTACTTTCAAACATAAATTTATGCATGTAGAAATAAAAACTGAGAGTGTTCTCACCTGATTTTAACAACATAGCAATTTCAGAAGTATTTTATTCATATCATTGACTACAGAGGAAGACAGGGTCTCTTAAATTAAACACTTTTCATTACATGTCTGATATCGGGTGGGATGAATCCATTTGAAAGAGTAAATTAAAGTGCATTAAAACTATAGGAAAGCAGTGACCCTGAAGAAGATTTAGGGATCTATCTAGACAAGCTACTAAATGAAAATTCCAATGAGTTGCTTTGGCAGAATGGGCAAGTAAGATCCCTGGATATATAAGCAGGTGGGTAAGAGTTTGAATAGTGAAGGGATTTTTTTTGCATTCTGATACCACGGTACAAGAGCTGTCGTGTTTATGTTCTCAAATTTTATCCTTGGAAAGCGTACCAAAAAAAAAAAAAAGACATAAAATTCAAATGCCACTCTAAGTACCTTAACTTAGAGACTCTAGAGAGCTCAGAACACTGAGTTTATTTGTTAAAAAGTTGGAGGGTAACACTGCTATGCTCAATAAATACTTCATGGCATAAAATTCCTAATGAATACTGAAACATTCATCAGTCTTATCATTATAAATGCACAAACCAGAACCTGTGGCTGGATTCATAGTTAAAAATGAGAAATTGGATTCAAATCTTTGACCTTTGGAAGTGTAATTCCTATAGGTCTGGGTGGGAACACAGGGGTGGAGATAGAAATAGTGAACAAGTCTTAGTTCCTTAAACAAAGCCAAAGCAAATGTTGGATTCCTCAAATACCTGCCAGGAAAATATGATGTATCCAAAGATAAGTTATGGGGCTTACTAATTGCATTTAGTGCCTGAAAGTTAGGTTAGCCTAAAGTAGTGATCCCTCTTGCATTGTATCCTACTACTGTGTGAGCAAGCTTAGACAGAGACTAAGTACCCCTATTTCAGCAGTGCCAGCATCGCTTTAAAGTCTGCTAGTCAATATAGTTGTGATATGTATTCTCTTTTCAGGCTTTGGGCAAAAAGATAAATACTTAAGAGCTATCTGGAGTAATTTTCTTGTAAAGTAGCTGAGGCCATGCTTATACCACCCTGGGGTATAATTTTGTGGGGTTGAATAATTACCCCACAAAAAATGTGATAAAGCCAGTTCAGAAGTTAGATTTTCCTCAACATGACTGAGGATATTTGAATTTGAACTTTTGTGAAGTCCCTGTCCATACATGAGGGAGACTGCAGGGATTTCTATCTATTATACTGCAAAGGCTTGTCAGAAATGAGTGCCATAATTGATAATATCATAAAAGAAGTTGCTCTTGAAGGTTTCATGGATATAAAGTATATTTCTAATTTGGCGTCCTGTGGGAAGTCGTATTCTAAATTATAAGGCATGGACTATAAAACTGGCTTTGATCTTTTAGAAAATTACCCATGTTGAAGACACAAGTAAGTGAAAGGGAAAATTCAGACAATTTGTCACTTGGGCTTAGGATATGATGGTATATTTAATCGTTCTGCTCCATAAAAATGTGAGAGCCCATATTTTAGTGTGCTCTGTCCACTGGAGAAAAAATATCCTAACTTTTTCCGCATGGATGGAAGTATGTCTTTGTACAGAGTACTGTCAAAAAAAAAGATATAAATGGAATCCATCCTGTTATAGCTAAGGAAGTGAGTTAAATTATAAGACACAGTTCACTATCAAATAGTTACTTTTCATAGCAAGAAATCTAAAGTGACATTGCAGTTTGTCTGATGGTATGGTTAGAAGAATGGATACAATTTTTATGTGGATTATGGATTGTGTGAGTTATGATCGAGGTAAACCAAACAGAGCATGTAAATGAAATGCTGTCTTTCACGTAATGGGTAAATGTGAAGGGTTTGGTAAGCGGAAAGAAAGATTTGGCTATAGAGATTTGACATTTTCAGCATTTACAGTTTGCAGAGTTTTGCATGATTTTTAAATATGGTATTTATTTAAGATTTCAGCTCATTGTTGACAAATGCTTTCTGAGTTTCACACCATGTAATGAACGAGAGGTTTTCCTCTTTAGAACATTGAGTCTCTCAACGTAGAACCAAGTGAAAGATGTCTGACATTCTCTCTTATATTTTCAGAGGATAGCGGCTATAAAGCAAGCCTTGAACGCACACAACATCAGTTTCTTTCTGAGGGGAGGATACTGGGTCTTAGTGACTTTAGCTGACTCCAGTTCAGGTAAATATATAAACAAAGCTCCCAACAGACCAACCTGTGAATGTCTGTTAGAGTTCTGATAGGTTGAGGAGAAAATTTCGATATCTATAGCTATATATGTGTGTGTGTGTGTATACATGTACATACACGCACACACATACATATACACACACTTGGTATTTGTTAACAATCACCATCAATAAATCTTTCTTACATATTTTCATTTCACTGCACCTTATGGTTTGTGTCAGAAATTTCTTGCCCCTATTTCACTCTTGCTCTTTTCTGTGTAACCATGGCGTTAAGTAAACGATTATACTGAACAAAACACTGCCATGAAGGAAGAGCCAACCTGGCTTCAGAAAAAGACAGCTGGTGAAGTTAAACGCGCTTTGGCTGCATTAGCTGCCAAGAAAGCAGAGCTTCCTTACTTCAGCTGTCATTAACTGTGCTAATAAAACTCCATGCATCTGGGACATAGCCTTGTGTCTCCGCATGATACCGAGCTGTGTCTCGTAGACAGATTTGAAGCTTGCTGTAGGAACTCCACACAGTGCTGCACTGCTTTGCCAGTCCTGTCCTGAGATATATGATCTACCAGCTCCTGTTTAAAATAACTGGAAACAGGGTTTACTGGCATGTATTTTCTGTGCCTCTGGATTCACTCTGTGGTTAGAAACTGATTGAAGAGAGTGTGTGCTCATGCATGTGCCTATGTTTTGAACAGAGAGGTGTTAAAGTGATGCTTTGACCAGAAGGTTCAGCTTTAATTAGAACCTTGTATTTAGTGCGTCCTGTAATCTTTGTGTGTCATCTCCCATAATATAGTCTTGTCTGTTACTCAAATGCGTTGTGGCAGAACACCTTAGCTGGCCACAGTCAATTCAGGGAAGTACTGATGTAAGTGATATTTTATCTGTCAGCTCCCTGTAAAAAACAAAGGTATCTTTTTATCTAGCCTCTTTAATGTAGTATCATGCTACAGTTCTGCTGCAACATCTAGTCTGATCACTGTAGAAATCACTTGCTTAAAGAGAGAACATTCATTAGCCAGGACAAAACGCTAGAATTAAAAGAATCCCATGTTCATTCTAGCCTTTGCTATTCAGTGTTCAGAGCCGTAGTTTCTCCCTCTGTGAAATTAATGCAGCCTTGCTTTTACATAGTATGTAGTTAGGGTATGTGATCATTTCCTATGATAACTTGAGATTCCTAGAAAAAACAAAACAAGGCATGCAAATAATTAATTCTTTGGATGTTCTTTTTGAAATTGGACCTCTCTCCTTCAATCGTAAGTCACCAATTAATTCTGTGTTATTGCCTGTTTGAAGAAGCTACAGATGGAGAGAAGAGAAGAGATTGCACAAATAACAACAAATGTTTTTGACTTAGCAATTCAAAAGAAAGCCCAAGGATGTGACTAGTCTGAAAGAGGATGTGCTAAACTGTTTTTTTAATTTCTTTTTTATTTCAGACTCTCAAAGGATTGGAGGAGGCAGTGGGTACTGGGCTATTGTAGTTCTCTTTGTCATCTGTCTAGTCATAGTCGGGGCTTTCATCCTCTACAAGTTTAAAAGGCAAGTAAACCTTAATCAATGCTACATATATTTTAAGAATTGAATTTACCCACGCATCAGCAAAATACAGTTAGCTATTTGAAAAGGAGATTTTCCTGAGGGATTGCAAAAAGCCCATCACTTTGAAAGCTGTGTTTTTCTGAACTTTTCAAACATGGGAACTATGGAGAGTTTGTTCAGCTTATCTAAATAATATCGTCAAGAAGGAGAGCTGAGCTAAAATATTATTGCTAATTAATTCCTATGTCATTAGCCTTAGAAGTTATGAATAAACTAAAGCCATCAAGAGAATGAGTAGATCTGCAATGCTGATTTGTTTAAAAAAGTAGTTTTGTCAAAACATATAACTGTATGGAGTTTCTCTTTGCATTCATCGAGTTCTAATTTCTGGGACAATGTCACCTCGAATAAGATAACTCATAGGTAATGGAACTAGATCAGTGTTAATTTAACAGTAGGGTGTGTTGAGGGGAGAACAAATTCTGCAAATAGTTTTATGTAAGGCCAAAATTGACAATGGACACCACATCAGCCCTTAACACTTCTGATAGATCTTTAGTCTACAATTGGTAGTGGTCATTGCTACTAGGATGATGTGCAACTTAAGGAACTTTGTTCTTGTTCATCTGTTTATCACTGGCTGTGCTCCTGTTATTTTTGTCCTGGGTATTTGGAAGCTTTGGGGTGGATCATACTGGCAAAAACCTTTGTTACCATAAAATCCTGATGTCCTCACTCAGTGAGCACTCCTATTGATTTGTTTCATTATTTCAAAAATGATTTTTATTCAAAATAAACATAAGTTTATTTTGAAATGGTTGTGGCACAGAGTTTGTGGTAGCAGCAAGAGTAGATAGCTTTTAAGTAAGAGTTTGTTTAGCTAAGAGTTTAAGTCAGCAGAGAAAAACCCTCTCTGCCAAAAGTCTCTTCATTTTCTCACTGCAGGATCTAAGTCTCAGAGCTCATACTGACTGATTGCTCTCAAGGACAAAGGACAGAGTTCTTTATCAGACTCTTTCTACAACTGAATAAAAATCCATTTTACTATTTTTGGAGCCTGCAGTAGAAAAAAACATAAAAATGGTTGATGTGATGTAATTATATTATTTCAGTAGCAATGCTTGGAGGATTTGCTGTTTGTAGTGTGGGATCATAAAACTTGCTTGTGATATCATTTGAAGGCTATATGATTTAAACGTTTTTATTAGCTCTTAAATGAGGGCAATTAAATAACAGATACAATTACTGCATGGCAAAAGAAGTATAAAATATTTAAGAGGAAAAGAAAAATATTTTTGAGTCCTTTCTAAAATGCCCACTGGACCATTTTTTATAAATATAGCATTTATTAAGGAGAAAACTGTAATACCCTTTGCAAATTGTGAGCCTTAATGCCTCACATGCTTCCATATATAATTCATGGAAATCGTTTGAACTGATGTATGACCGTACGGTAATATCTGCTTTTAGTCTGTATCATATCTATTTTTGAGATATTTGACAGAATTATTTTTTAAATACTACTGTTAAGATTTTCTGAGATGAGAGTTTTTTTCAGTTGCATCCTTTTTATGCAATATGATTTTCAAAACATATTGAGCACTAATCAATCTTTTGAAAAATCAATTTTCCCCAAGTGCTCCCTGTGAACTCTTCTCCCACCCAAATCACTAATCACACTTAAAGAAATCCTTCCTGTGTTTGTAAGGACTGATAGTAAATAGCTGGATCCCCTTGGAGTACTTTCTTGGAAGTATAGTCCCTCTAAAGTCAGTACAGTTAATGTGTGTAAGTTTACAAACTGGCCTATAAAGACTGAAGCTATGAAACTGAAGCGTCCTTTATTAGATACAAACCAATCTGTAATGCACAAAGAAGGCTCGGCAATATTATGCAGCTGTATACTAATAACAAATTTGCTGAAAGAATACAATATGCCAAAAAAATTCAATTTTAGGTTGTAATTTCAGCAGAATAACACTTTCTGGACCATATGTTAACTCAGACACCAAATGCAAATGTAAGAGTGAATTATTTTCATATAGAAGTTAGAGAAATGTATAAGTTCTTGAAGTTTTAATACTGTCGATAATTTTTATGTACCATTCACAAAATTAAGGGGGAGACAGAAGACACTTGATTGTGCTTTCCTTTTTCCCTTATGTAAGTTGATAGTCAGATACTCCCTTCAGATAAGGCTTAAAATTCCTTTTTTCCCTGAGTCAGAGGAAGGTTTATTAGTCTTAGTTTTATCACTACACGGGTTGGATCTACAGGACTTCCAGTTGCCATCGGGGCACAAGCAGCGCAGATTGTCTGCAAAAGATTGTGTGAACATGCCTTGAATTACTCTCTCTCTCTTTGCTAGCCCAAAAGACAGTTCCTTACTTAGGTTTGATACCTGAAAAGATAAAAGACGAAAATATTGGCCTGCAGTTAAGGCTTAAAGATGGGAATTGGATTAACTGGGAAGTTAGATTTTCGTATGTGAGAACATTTCATATATTTGCCAAGAACAGAGGAATTATTCAGGATTTAGGATAAAATGTAAAAAGTAGCGCCAAGTCCCATTTCCTAATTGTGAACTTCAGTGTAGACCGTAGTACAGCCTCCACAGAAAATGGAAAAATATGGCCCAAACTGCCTGATGGTTGCTGAGTGTTGAGGCGCTCAAGTATTACATACGTGTGTGTGTGTGTGCGCGCGCGCGCGCGCGTATACGTATGTATTTACACATACACACACTGCACTCCCTGCCCAGCTTGTGTCTGGAAGTGAGATTTGTGCTATGTCAGATTGCATAGTCAGAGCTGTCACGACTGTCTAGTTAATGATTACATGATTGTGAATATTGTTACATTGTTTCAGATAGACTACAATCCAAAATAATTAAACAATGACTAGGAAGACTGTTGCCTTCTGTTCTTATCTACAGAAAAATTGCAAGCATTTATCATTTTGTCTGTCCCCTACTTCCCCACGCCTCGCACACGCATGCCTGATGGTCTCTTTGTGCGTGCAGGCACATTACCTTCTGAGCTCTTCTCATGAATGTGTACTTTAAAACCTGTGATACTAGAATCCATGGAGCTTGGGACTTGTGGGCATCCCAAGAGTAGTTAGTTGCTTTAGACAAAAAAGCCAAAGCACAAAGAGTTTGGGAACTGCATGCAGGGTTTTGATCTTTTGTAGTCATTAGTAAGTAAACAAATCAGATAAGGGCTATTTTTGCTCAGTAAATGGAAAGTAAATTTTAAATGATAAAGGCTTATTATTGTTAAAGATCAATTCTAGTCCCATACTAGTCCACTAGTGAACAAAGACGGTTTTAGACAATTTTTTTTTTTTGTAAAATTTCAGTGGTGTTGTGTGGCAGTAATGAGAGAGAGTTAATCTCCTGGCTGCCAAAACTCACTGTGGCTGTGAAGCAAGAGGTTGTGCAGGTAAAAAACATGGATATCAGGCAAGCCAAGAATAATTTTCCTTTTCTTTGCTCTTACTTTCTGAGTATAGAAATCAAGTCTCATGCGTCATGCTAACAATATGCTACTGTACTCACTAATATGGTTCAGTTGCTTCACCATCCAGGTAAAATGGGCTACGGCTGCTTCCTTTGACTAGAGCAGTATGAAGCGGCTGGAAAATATTTTTGAGAAATCAGTCCCATTTTTAAACACAGATCTGGGACCTGCATGCATTTTTTCTAGACCATACCATCTTTACTAAATTTGATTCAGTAAAAGGACACTTCTTCTTTTCCCTTTGAAACTGTACTTGTATTTGTTGTGGGTTTCAAATTGCCATCCAGAAAAGATTTCTCCCTCCTTTCAGAGCAAGCCTCCACAGTGTGAGGTCCTGGGCAATCATACAGAGAAGAGAAATAGCACTATCTCCTCTAAGCAAAGTAGAGGAGGGAGAATTATATTTTAGCCACATCAAAGCTGCTATATATTAATTATGTTACTAGCGGAATATATGAAATCATCCTTTTCTTACTCTTTTTCTTCTGCACAACAACAGGATTTTAAGATTAGCCAAACCAGCGCAGATTACTGGTTTTTTTCTGCTTAGGTATTTTACCTAGCAAATTTTATTCTCTGAAAGAGTATGGAAATCTTCATATTTTAATTTGCACGCAGACTACTGCCTGTGTCCTTAAAGTTGCATGCATTGTTTTCAGAAATGTCTATGGATCTACTTCAACCAAATTCATACAATTTTGTATGTACTTCTTTTTTTTCATGGTACTATCAGGTGCCACTTTTGGTAAATGAGCCCCCTCTTGGGTTATTTCAACAATCTGGAGCAGAACTGTGTTATCTTTCTGCCTCATTGACCTACCATCTCATTTTCAGTCTCTGAAGAAAATCTTTTTTCCCCACCTTGCTTTATACTAGTTTTATGTTCCATGAGAGCAAGTTTAGTCCCAACCCATGCCATTTAGTTATAAAAAAACGGGCACTAATTTAATGATCCATAATATTTCATAAAAACTTCCTCTCAAATCAAAGTAATAGCATGTAGAAAAAAATTTGAAAAAGGAAAGAGGCAAGTAAATTATGAGTGCCTTAATGCACAAAGAAGCCATTCATCTGAACATTAATCCAAACACCACAATAAAATACTCTATTTAATGGATTATTATTGTTGTTAGTTTTATTTAAGTTCCAACAGTATGCTACGTTATTCCATATCCTTTTCCATGGGAACGTGTTCCTATTTTGAATATGTTCCTACTAAACAGAACCTTAATCAGGCCTCCGGAAAATGAATGAAGCTACATAAAGGCCAATTAACGTTGGCTCCACAAGGCTGGAACGGAAAGACAAATAAACAAGAGAGTTTAAATGCGTAAGAAAGGATATCTCATCCCCCTCCTGCTGTTTCTTACGGCTGAAAATTTTTAAGTGCAAACAGTTTCTGGTATGAACTGATTAGAAATTGTAAATACAGGGGGGAAAGTTGCTTTCTGGAGCATCTTCTAGAAAGGTGCAGGACCTGGAGAGCTCTGTCAGGAAGCCATGTGCTGTGACCGTGGTTAGCAGCTCTGTGCAGAGTTAGGTCTCCTGTTCAAATGTTATGGTACTTAAAGCAGGCGTGAATGTTTTCTCCTTCCTCATGACTGAAATAAAATGCTGCAGAGAAAACGAAAGGAACTAAGAATGTAAACCATGGGGCGCTCAGCAGAGGTAATTGTCTCCAGTGATGGATGCAAAGCACATGCATTTTGCAGCTCAAGAATAAACCCCAAAAGAAACTATATTGTGTAGTTTTTCTTTCTGTTCTTATAAATATGCTTTCAATTTGCATATTGCTGATATAAAACTCCTGGGTCACATTTCATGTCCTGTCGTGTTTGCACAGTAGTCTTTTATGTAGACCCAAGCGTTTCAGCTCTTCCTACTTCAAACAGTTATGTTGTCCTCAACATAAATTGCTTCCTTAAGAAGAGCAGAGCACATCAAGGTACACAAAATTTTTTCCAGTGTAATTAGGGGTAACAGCTTACTTCCTACATGGTAAAGCACTGTGGAGGAACTGGAAAAGTTGCCAGAAGCAGGCCCGTCTTTAGCAAAGATCCAGTATCCACATCCTGTTTCATCCCACAGTGTGGTTGTCCCTTATAAACAGAACATCTGGCACATGTGTAAAAAATGCCTTTTGAAGACTTAGACTCTCTTTTTTTTTTTTTGAGTCTAATTGCTTTTTTTCCTTGTAAAACTCAATCAATATGAAACACATAGAGATCTCTGTGATGTATAAAAGGTCAAATGCCTATAACATATGCCTTCGTAAGACCTGTAATATTCTCCCTCTTCCTATTCATACTCAGTGTTATGATCTAAGATAGTTTCCTCTGCAAGTGTGAGGAGCAAAGGAAGTATTGAAGAGTTACTGAGTACCTCAGCTTTATACCTTTTAGAAACTGCCTTCCTGTACTTAGCAGGATTGGGCTCACAAAGTTTAGGTGAGTGAGAAAGAACAGCTTATACCTTTTCTGCTTTTATATTTGCTCCATAAAAACAATAAACATTTAATGGTTACTTGTGAACTCATGAGGTTTCTTCATTCAGGCACGCCTAGTATATTTAATAGTATGTGTTGTGACTGTGGTGATCTCTAACTAGTAAGTCTCTCCAGAGACACGAGTTTGAAGCCTAAAGATTTACACTGAAGGACACAACTTCTGGTTTCAGACAAGTCCAGCATGGGGAAAACACAGGCAGACAACAGTTAAATTAGCAGATCTACCTAACCTTGACTTAATCATAAAGGTCTGATGTGCCGTATGGTTTGGAGATGGATAATATTTTTATTATGTTAAAAATATTTTGATTATGTCATTGGTGCTTCTAAAATCTGCCAGAAATACAGGTTTGAGAAGAACCCCCAATTTTTTTTTAGCAGCATATGTGCTAATTCCACAGATGTGGAAAAGAGGCAAAGATGGTCTTTTGGGTTTTGTTTCCCTTAAACGTTAGGAGGAGTGAAGGATTTCACAGGTTTGGTGTGATTGAGAGTGATACTGTTTTCCACATGACCAGTTTCATAAGTAGACGCATTTTAAACTGTTTGGAGTTACTGGCCCTAGAGAACAGAAATCAAAATTAATTAGGTAACGTATTTGTTTTGGTAATGAGGAATGTCCTTCCTCCCTGTTAACATGTTATTTTTTCCTTAATGGGAGCAGAGTGACACAGGGCTTGGCTTTATATGTATGCTTGTGTTGGAGGAGCTCTTGGACCTGTTGAAGCAGCCATTCTAGCTAAGTTCTGTGCCATCAGACCCTCTTTCTTTCATTGTCCTTTGCATACAGTTAGTGCCTGCAGTTTCTTTGCTCCTTGTGCACAGAGGAACAGAAAAGAGTCTTAGTGTGATAAGCCTTTCTTTGTGGTGCTTATAAATAATGGGATAAAATAGCTCATTTCTGTGTGCATATGGTTTTGTATGTGTGTTTATATATACACATACCTATATATGAACATGCATTTGTGTACAAATGTATTTACGCATATAGAATGCAATTCATCTCATGGATAGTTCAAATTAAAGGGAGGGGATCCTCTTCAGTCACGTTTCATTGTTTAGCAGTTTCTTTTTGTTGTGATGCAATGAAAGGTGCTGTTCAAAATAGTTTAGTGCAATAACGTTTAATCTCAAACTAAAATGGTGCCACCTGGGATAGAACCTTTCTTCTGAAATAACGTTTAAACGCAGGTCATCTCAGAAAAGCCTAGAGAAAACAGAGCAATTCATGCATTTATCCAGCTTTAATGTTGCTGTCAGAATATGGAAAAGATGGTCATTTTTAGAGAGATGCCCAAAAAGTTAATGTCACTTTTTCTGTCCATCTTCTCATTGTAGCTGAACGAGCTCAGCAGAAACACTACAGTTCAACCCCATTTTCCCTCTTTTCTAATTGTTTGCCCACTGCAATGATCTACGTTTGAGCACAAACTTTGACAGCCGTGATCAGCTATCATGCTGATCAAGCTGCTTTTTGCAGTGTGGGAAATGGAGCTCGCAACCTGCAACACCCTAATCAAAAGCCTGCTTGGTGAACAGCAAAGGATGTTCTATGTGCCCAAGCAGATTTCAGAGGAAAGCAGCTGCAGCGGAGGTTATGGCTCTCTAGGATTATAAATCTTGTATTCTGTTGGAAAGTTAGAAGTCCCTGTTAAGTCTCCTTGACCGTACAAAATCTTATTTAGCATAGTTAAGAACTCTTTATTAATCCTTATGCTAAAGTGTCCTGGGCGCTGGTGTTAATTGTCTGGTAAAGCTGGTAAAGCCTTGTAATAGCATCCTTTTAATTTTTCTGATTTCAAATCAGAATGAAGGAAGTGCTGTCTCCTATAAAGAGTTTAGTCTAATGCAGTTCCCAGCAGTCTTGGGACAAGCTTTACTCTGTCTCCTTTAACGCTGCCTGCTTGCCTCTACCCAACGTGCCCTGCAGAGAACACTCTCATCTTCTTATCAATGCCTGCTCACCTTCCCATTCCTTACCCCTTCCTTGTTCCTGGGCTCTAGGTTCTTTGCTCCCTGGTCCCTTTCTATTCCCTGTCTCCTGGATTTCTCCTGCTTCTTCCTCCTGCTGATAGAGAGAATGAGTGCCATTCTATGGTTCTGATCACCTTCAGCGTTAGTCCAGCTCACCAGGGAGATGCACTTAATGGGGTTAGTCCAGCTCACCAGGGAGATGCACTTGGAACCAGGCATACCTCTGGGGCCTTTTTATTGTTTTACTTCTTAAAAATAGCTTTACTGTGTTTTTAGTAATGTTTTAGTATTGTCCATTGTTTGTCAATCTTAGTCAAGAAATTGATACTTAATTATTTAAGTTAGTAATTCCATTGTTTTAAGGCAGTTGCATACAATTTTGACTTAGGGTAAGGAGTTGATAACTTCTGCTTGTGAATACAAAGTTAAGGGAGGGTGTAATTGGTGTTGTTTTGTCACTCTGGTATTACTTCATTCTATTGGAGTCCTCTTCTGATTCCAACGTATGTGTGACGAGATGGAATTCCATCACAGACTTTTTTTCCCTATCCAATTTAGGAAACTGCCAGGCAGAAATGTCTATGCGCAGATGCACAATGAAAAAGAGCAGGAGATGACAAGCCCTGTTAATCATAGTGAGGACACCCAGAACATCATCCAGGGTGAGGAGTTTATTGATGATGATCTGGACTCTCAAACACTAGGTAACGCAAGAGGTAACTTCACTTTTAGTTTATAAATTTTTGTTAGTGATTGATTTTTAAATAATGTTAATTTTCATTTTAGCTTTCTTTCATTTCTACTCTATTCAGGAAGAAGCAAATACCTCTAACAAAGGATTATCTCAATTTTCTTCTTTTTGCGTGTAATTCAGCCTTAATATATTGGTGACATGCTGTACAGACCATGCTTACTTAGACAATTTAAGAATGAAATCACATTTGGTAAAACAGAGTATAATTGCTAACATTTGAAACACCTCAAGAATATCCCAGATTTGTGGAAAATGTTGTTTAGGTGAGGGCGGAATGGTTTGTAGAGTCAATGTTACCATATTTTCAGATGGAATGTATCTAGATCCATTGTTTTATTTGCCATACTATCCCAGTGGAATATAAGGTTTTCATAATTAGAAACATTACATTTATACCTAGGTACAAAGTGTAGCGTATACCTCTTTTAACTGTTAATTCACCTGTATTCCTGGGGTGGTCATAAGCAACCTATGAGGGAAACTTTCTGTGACTATCACTTAGTGCAAATGATGTCTGTATCAGATAGAAGTGTGTATCATGTCACCCTAATGCTATCTTTAATGTAGCATAGAATGCTGATCTATAAAGTTCATTTCCTATAAAATTTACCATTTTGTTCAGACTGCATTCAGGTCACAGCCTGAGAAGTGTAGCACAATGTAAAAAGCTCTCCAGTTCCATTTCCACAAGTTTTGTGAAAATGAAACAGATAACCCAGAGTCTTTGGGTTTTGTAACAGTAGCTGTCATGGTGTAACAGGCAACTATAACGTCTTCATGAACCCCTGGAAGAAGATCTTTTAGCTATGGCAGGGTAGCCTGAGGTAGTACAGAAATTTGTCACATAAGAAATTTCTTTATCTTGCACTTCTTTAACTATCTTTTGCAGTAGATGTCCTTATTTTCATTTGCTCCTTCTGAGTTTTTGAAGATATTAGCTTTCAGCAAAAGTGAAGAATCTAGCCTTCAACTTTACTTCAGGCTTTCTGTATTTCAGTATTTTCTTTGTGTATGAGTATTACTGTGTTTTCTTCAGATTCTGCAAGAAGACCTTGATTGTACTCCTAATTCTACTGGAGTTAATTCCAAACACAGTTCTGGAAAAACAAAGCCTATGTTGGAATTGTTTGAATAACTCACCTCCAGGGTCTTTAGAGCAGAATGCTGAATGCTGACAGAGTGTGTGCAGACATGCCTATTACAGTGGAGCATTCAAAAATCTCTACTAATGTACAAAAGCATAACTTATTTCACAAGTAGAAAATTTCATGGCCTATTTATATGAGGCTGCTTGGGACTGTGGAATGAGGAGATGCTACCCTGATTTGTAACACATTCAAAAAAAGTCACCTTACTTACTCACTGTTGGCTACATGAGCCTGATCCTGCACTCCTTACTCAGAGAAAACTTTTCTTGCCTCTGGATAGAGCGTTGTTAGGGTTAAAGAGTGCAAGATCATGGTGTGATATGAAACTTTAGACAGTTAGCAAATGCAGATCTCAAGGTGATCTGCGCTTCTGCCAGGTTGTCAATACCAGCAGCGTTTCCAGTGGAGCATGAAGAGTTCATTTCTGTGGGCCCTAAACATCTGTGTTCATAAGCTACTGTACAGCTTTTAGACAAAAGACTTTATTTAAGGCATAAAACTATACTTCTGCTCTCTGTACTGTTTTGTTGCTTGCAATACTTTCCACTAGCTCCAATATCACTCGATACTGCCAAGACAATATTCCTGTTTATGATACTCTTCTATTTTATCTGGCTGGAGTATGAAACGTATTATAATTCCTGCTTTATATTACGTTCTATTTTACAACATTATTTACAGAAGGTTCTCATGCTATGGAGATTCCTGCTAATTCTGATGAGCTCTTTCCCCCCCTATTAGGGAGTTTTCTTTCCCTCCCTATTAGGGAGACAGCTGTAACAGCCTCCACTCCATGCACAGCAGGGTTTTACAGGCCTAGATTTCTGTTTGTTCTCTCTTCTCATAACTTTTGAATTTCTATAGTACAGTATTTCCAGACTCACCCATCCACTTTTTTTGTTTTCTATATATTTTATGTTGCCTACTTTATCGCAACCCCCACGTTGGGACTCCTCAACACCATTACCTTGCAGTGACTCCTTCTGGGAGAAGTGGCAACTTGAACAGCTACAGAGTTCCCCTATTGCTGATGCCGGTCAGTGTCCAGTCCCAGGTCAGTGGCATGTTGAATGGAAGCCTCAGGTTCCATTCTCCTCCCTCACCTGCACCCCTCAAGACAACTACACCTTTTTAAGCCACAAAGAGAAACAACTTATGCTGTCACAGGGATAGAAACCCTAGGACCTCACCACAAATTCACCACCATGAGCAAAAGCTTTAAGCAAAAGTATGCTGTAGGTACACGGAGCTGTTGCACCAACCTTCACCTGATCTGTTCTTTGATAAAAATCACTCTATGTGACTGACTTGTCCCTGAACTAAAAGGGAGATTTATAACGAAAAACCCAAAATATACTGATATCAGCCTTTTCTTTTTATATTTTCATAGGCAATCACTCAGGCGTGGTTTTGAGCATCAACTCCAGAGAGATGCACAGTTACCTGGTTAGCTGATATTTACAGCTGAACACAAAAACCGAAAGACTCTTCTCTGTATCATTTTATTTTTCCCTGGTGATGTCACAAAATTGCAAATATGGCTGTAAATGCTGGTGGAGAGGAGGTTCCTTAACAGTCCTGTGGAAAAAAAGCATCCATCATCAGCTACTGGGGAGACGATAAATCTTGCGTTCACTCTATGGCCTGGAAACTTGTTACAATTCAAACTCAAACTAAGGTAGCAAATTTGTAGCCCTAGGCACATTCAATGCCACATTCTTTCTTTTCTGTATATGTTCTAGTTTCTCTGTGTTTATTTTTAGAAGGATTGACTGTAACTTTCTAATTATGTTTTTAATTGAGGTAATCAGTGCAAGGCTGGGACTCTTCAGCTTGAAAAATTGATTTGTAAACAAGTGACAAGACCAGAATAGATGGCTGGCTGAACACTACCATATTTTTTTTCAGAAGTCTGTAATTCAGAAAAGGAACTGTAATGAGAGAGGTCTTAGCAAGGAGACAAATGCACTCCTAGTGAATTCAAGTTCTTAAATTAAAAATGTGTGAGACAATCTAATGAACTGAGACTTAGATCCTTCTATGGATTAAAGGAAGCAAAGTGTTAATTAGGATATTCTATAATTATAGGATAATGCTCTTGTAAGTGTAGCAAGTCCTGACAAACCATCAGCACCAGTATCTCTCCCAGTCCCACCTTGTGTGAAAGACAGAACACCAGCTTGATGTTTTTTCCAGACCAGGTGCCTTCACTTGCAGTCAGTTATTTTCAGTTAGTTGCTCTCGTCTTTTATCCAAGCACCTCTAGAATGATGGCAGCCGCCAGATCGGTTATCATGTGAAAAACTGTTCTGACAGCCTATCTCTTTTTAAATTTCCAGAGAGTGTAAATACCTCCTTTAAGTAGCTTTCTTTGTATGGTTATTTTTTAAAAACTTTCTATTCTTGGGGCAGAGATGCCAGGTATGTCAGAGTTCTCCTCCAAACAGGATAGTGTAGGACACCAGAATCCCCTTGCTACTTGGATTTTCCCTTGGTGTTCCCTTGGTGTTTGCCCTTGCAGGTGCGGGTGGTCAAACTCTTACCTGAACTTTGCCACTTGGATATGTTTGACAATCCAGAGGGCTGTGAGGAGGATCTGCGGAGGCTCATGTTTTCTTTCTCTCACCACAGGGTGTCACTCAGTCCCTATCAGGCACTGGCCCCTATTTCTGCAGGAAGAGCTGTGGGCGTTTTAAAAGAGCCACCTGCAGAAAGGCGTGTGAGTCAGTTCAGAGTTTCCTTATCCCAATCTCTGCATCCCTAGGGAATGGAAATCCAGTGAATCCACACCTGGCCAGTCACTTTAATGTGTTTTTTTGGAGCTGTGTGAAAAATGGACCGTGGGGTGATGAATTTAAATATTTGGCATCCCATGTTATCACAGCTGCCTGGAATGAGGACACTTCTGTCAGAAACCTATAAAATCTCTTCACCTTTTGCCTTCAATAGAGACTAAATGGCTCTTTGCTCAGTGAATGTCATACTAATGCTGGTAGCAAATTACCACACCAGCTTGCTTAAAGAGGGTACAGCTAGCTAGCTACATCCTTGTGAATAAACAAACATAAATAATGAATGCTGATAAGACAGAATAGAACTATCTTAAAATTATCCTATGCATTGGAGTCATTCTTCCGTGTGTAGCTATGGATATCCTGCAGCATAATTTCATCAAATGCTACAGCCTTGGATATAATAATTCATTGTAGTACTGTAGGCTCTCACAAACCCCACAGGATCTGTGTGTAAAGCACAAGAAATGCTAGTGTAGAAACTAAGGGTATCTAACTAGGTGGAAAAGTTAAAAGATTCCAACAAGTGCTTGCAAACTGCTCAGGAAAACTATTTCAAAAAATCTTTCTAAAATTTCCAGCTATGTAGTTCTAGACTGCCATGCAAACATGATTTACTGGGAAGCAGCGTTCTAGTTGACTGTTGTATTGAGGCCTCTGTATAAATTTGAGGTGTTCCATGATTCTGAGTCGGGGCCTCGTGAAGAGAAATGCAAATGCAAAATGCACTGTGCTCTGGAAACTCTGAGGACTGTTGTGTCGGGGGCTTGCACTTCTCACCAGCTCTTTACCTTTTTTTCTAGTAGAAACGAGCTGGAACAGAGAGTAAAATAGTATTGCAAACAGCTTACTGTTTCCTGAGAAATAAATTTGAAGTGGGTTATTTATGTAGGGCAGTTGAGTAGTGGATTAGCCTCATGGAGAAGGAATGGAATGAAAATTCTAGCTTGGGATCTTTCTCCCATTGGTTATGTGATTGGCTAAGGACACTCTAGGAACAGAGTTACACATACTAATTTATGCTTTAACTGCCTTTATACATTTTAAACAGTGCGATTTGTGTCTCTGATGACCGGAGTCTTTTGGAACACAGTGGAATATTTAACTGCTAGGTACTCTAGTTAACGCTTAGTACACATATTGTGCCTGTAACATGTTTCTCTAATGATAATTAACTTAATTTGTGCAACATTTCTGTGAGGTTGGTTTGTCATGTCTTAAAAACGCTATGTTTTCTAAAGAGATGTCAGTATTGCCATATCTATATTAATAATACCCGACGGATAATAAGGGAAATCTTTGATTCCATGGCAAAAATAACTTTAAAATGAACTATTTTAAAAGTAAGAAAATATCCTTCCCATTCAAGGTCACTTAGTTTACCTGTAAATAAAAATTCTCACTAGTGCTAGGTTTTGAATCTCTTGAACTATGTCCACGACATCTTCGTATCTTTAAAGGACATGTAAGCATACCATTATTTACATATATCCAAAATCCTGGTATATGTGAATACAGAAACACAGAGTTGTTTATATGCACAAACACTAGGCACGCATGCATGAACATACGCATGCAGTATTTAGACATACTCCAGTTAAATTTGCTAGTGAGGAAGGGTGATTTGATGGCTGAGAGACAGAAGACAGCTGTCAGGTGGTCTGGATTCTATCCCCAGACTTCAGGCAAGTTATTTAACCTGTATGTGCCTCGGTTTCCCCGCCTGTCAAATGGGGCTGATAATTACCTACCTCACAGTGGTATTGTGAGGCTAAATTAATTATTATTTGTTCAGGATCTTCAGAGTGAAAGAGTTATGTGAGTATAAATTATTAATAGCCTTGCTTTCTTTGTTTTGCTTATTATTATTGCTGTTATTAAAGGCAATCTAGGGAAACCAGCCACAATTATGTGTAAAAGTAAAAAATACATAATCCAAAAAGGTAAATAACTGTTAAAGAGAAAAAAATGAAATTTGATATAAAAGTCTTACTGGGACGCTTTGTTTAGTGACAGCATTTTGCAACATCAGCTGTGATTTTGCTAGTGTCTTAAACATATCAATTTTCCACAGTGTTAATGGTTAAAAGCCTTATAATAATAGGTACAATGATTTCGCAACTACATCAATACCTATCAGCACTGATACTGAACTATACTAAAATCACTTACAGCAAAATTGGCAATGTGTTGGCCTCCTTTGTATCTTGTATTTTTAAAGTTCCAAATAGGTAACAGCTTAAGCCACCCTTTCCTTTTCAGGACACTCCAAGGAATACTGATGTGATGTAACCATCAAGATTTACAACTGCTATCTTTGGTTTCCCTTTTTACATAAAAAAAAAAAAAGGTAGAGGTTCTTGTTTGAAATGGTTTCATTTTAGCAGTAAAATGCTCCATCCATACAATGAACTCAGAAATGCTCAGAAGACATTTAGGGAAATCTCACATACAGAGAAAATTAATTTCTCAAAAATAAAAACAATATAAAACAAAGTATGTTTTTATACCCTGCAAATGAGGATGTTAGGCTATGGAGAAATAGAAAGTGCCAGCTTGAGCCAAGATCTTGTTGTATCTCCAATTCACTTTCAATTTTTTGGGACTGTTTTAGGATATTCTCATTGAATTATATCATTCTTGCTGAGTTTTCTGCTTTCAGTGACTAGTGTAAAATGAAGTATTTCTTCAGATGAAGTAGGTGATTTGGTAAATTGCTGTCCTCTGGACAGACAAATGAGTGGTCTACCCTTACCAGTTCACAGTACAGAGCAGATTTCATCTGACATCATTACGATTGATAGCTGTATTTTAGGTCCAGTGAGAAATTCCTTTAATGGGGATATTCTCCTACTGCACGATATCTCTTAAATAGAGGTTAGCAGAATGGAACTAGTTTGGTTTCCGTCCTGGTTAAATTAACATGAATACATGCTCTGAGAAAGAGTTTGTTTCATGGTTAAAAAGTAAGGAATACATGCATTTGTTTGCAGTATCGTTGTGATGATGAACCAATGGTTCTGATTTGCTTTGAATTTTTAGCATTATTTAAAGTCCAATACAGTGTCGCTAAGTTGGTGGTGGTGGTGGCAATTTCAGTCATGGATTTTCCTGTGTTCACAATATTTTATAATTATTTTTAAAAGAGTCTTTTGTGGAAAAAGACTACAATTTGAATTTCATTGGAGAATCACTGACAGTTGGAGTCGTGCATTGGTAGATACTGCTCTGTCATTGCCTTCTCCGCTTACATTTGAGAGTTTTAGGTGAAAATAAACACATTTCTCTCAGAATGTTGACTTTTCAGTAGAAAGAAATTCATAATCATTTACCTTTCTACATGTGGATTTTTGAGATGCAAAGTTTTGTTAGATCTTCTAGTCCATCAAAGAATAAGTTGCTTCCTGGCTCATTTTCTCTAATCTAGTCCCAACTGAATATTGCTTCTACAGCTTTCTTTATGAGACTGGCATATAACCTAATCTTAGTAGTCTGTGGAATTCCTTTTAAAACTTCCATTGGAATGGCGCTTAATTGCCTAGAAGTAGTTAAAGCATCTGCTCAGAGCGTTTTCATAGCATTAAGTCTATATTTTCATGTTCCTTATTTCCGTTCAGTATTTTTAGCATTACCCCTCTCAGTGCCATTTAAAGTGTTTATTCCTGGCATGGATGTGTATATAATGTTTCTCACTTCTTTTCAGACTGAAATCATTAAAGTGACAAATGTTGAAAGAACTCAGACCCACAGTTAGCTTTAGCAATTAAAAGCCTGGCTCTGCAGGCTTTAGAAAATGTCAAGTTGTGCACTCTTAATTTTTTAATCTTTCTTCATAAGTCAGTCCTTTTACCTTGCTTGGTCACCTCTGTAGCTTTTGTTTGAATTCTTTTTGTTACCTCAACTTGGTAGGAATGCAGAATGTTTTTCGAATATCTAGATATACTAGAACAGCAGATTTCCCAAATTTGAACATGAATGTTTTACGGACTAAGTTTTTATTTTTCTTTTCTTTTAAATCTTTTGTGTAGAGCGCAAGGAACAGTACCATCAGGGAAATTAAGATCTGTGATGTACATAAATGGTACTTCAAATTGTGTGAAGACTAAAGAATGTATATCTCACATAAATGTCATTTTTTCCTGAAATTGATACATAGAGGAAGTTAGTTTCACGCTTTTAATATGCAAGATCTTATTTCTGTAAGTCTTTAGTCCCTGCCTCTCCTTATCTGTTAAATGGAGTAACAAATTGCTTAAAATATGAATAGTGGGAGCCATGTAGGTCTGAATGAAGAATGTTCATTGTTTTTTTCCCTTTTTCACTGTGTTAGGCTTGTCAAGACTTCAAGTTTCAGCTAGCTTATGTGCTGGTAGCTGTGACAATCTTCAGGAAGAGAATATTTAAGACATGAAATACAGGAAGGCATAGAAGTATGTGTTCTGAAGTGCAATGCTATAGCCATGTAGACAGTGCTGGCTATGAATAAGCCGGGCAAAACAAAATCCTTATGAAAGAGCTGTTATGGTTTGCATCCAAATGTTCCTTTTTGTACGATATCTCTTCAAGTACATATTCTCAATTGCATACCCTTTTTCTCTTCTTCTAAACTGATTTCCTTTTTAGGAGTGACACTTATTAGCCCTGAAAAAAGTGGAAACTTGCCTTTACACAAGTAATTCTATTTCAGGTTGTTTCCTTGCAACACTTGAAAGCATTGCCTACATTTGAGCTTTATTGATTGTATTTGATTTCTGAGTTTCTGGAGAATTTGCATCTTTAGTCTGTAACAGTTTGTTGCAATACAAAGGCGTAAAGCCTTGCTAAGCAGCAAAATGCATACAGCAGTATATGATGCTGCTTAAATAATATGCTTTTCTTGTGTTTATTCTCAGTGGTATAATGAGGATTTTAGTCACCAGTAGGACCAGGCATTGCACATAGCTTTTTTAGCGTGTCTAGTATTTCTCTTTTATTTGATGCTAATTTCAGTCAGCTCTTGATACTTATATTCAGCTCCTACAAACACTATTTGCTCTTGCAGATCAAAAGGTAAGAATTGGCTTAGTTCTATTTAAAAAAAAGTATTAATTCACAACTTCTGTGTGTTTAGTTAGAACAGTTTAGAAAGAAAATCTTTTTGAAACAGTAGAAGAGATGCTTTTTGATGAAAACAACTCATGTAGGAAAACAACAGACTTGTATCCACATGGTTTCCAAGACAAACTGATTATGGATTATAAATAGGCAGGACTATGCAGGAGAAATGGACATCCCAAACATCAGCAACATGCACATACGCAATTTGCAGACTATAAAACTAGTCTAAAGAAGAACTTTGTTAATACACCATTTATATGACCCAGATTCACAGTAAGGTATTTAAATGGTTAAAATTACAGGTTATTATCACGATAGTAGGAAGATGTCCAATTTACGGGCTGCATTTGCTGCTTACCCTCCTCTCTCTCTGGTTTATCTCTTGAGATGTGAAACTCTCCAGGGAAGTGACGTGCATTGTTCAATGCTTGGAACTTTTTGTTAAGTAGTTGATGGCACTTTATAGAAAAGTTTATCTGAATTTCCATTCTCCATCTCTTCTGTTTTTCTTCATTTCTGTTTTTCCTCCCTCCCTTTTTCTCCTGTTGTTTGTTTTTATCATTGTAGCTGGTGTTTGTTGCTCTGCCTTGCCAGCCTTTCTGCTTTTGATGACAGTTCTCTACAATGCACTTTCTCTCTTTCTTTTTGTTTTGCTTATGTTCTATTTCTACCTATGTTTCTTTCTCACTTTCAGTTCTTTTAATCCTTCATTTTTAATTTTGGCTCTCATTTTCTCTGCTTCTTTCTGGAACTCTTCCCTTTTGCCTTTCTAGGACTTCTCTCAACTACTTTTCTCCAGAGTGCACATATTTCCAGTCTGAAATTTGGATGACTGTTGTACTCCCTCTTAAGAATGATAAACTTACATTTTCTTCTCTCATCCATATATGTATTAACCTTGCTGTCTGTCTTTAGTGGAAAATACATGTTTAATTGACAGATAGCTATACCCATCATCTCCCAAATGCTCCTTCTGTCTCATTTCATGTTATGGGGATGAGATACAGTGTTTGCATGAGTTTGTTGGAGCACAGCAAGGATGGGCTTACTTTGACTCTCCTTCGAACGGACAGGTACTGAGTAGCAGCAAGGTTGGGCAGAGGCATCTTGCCAAACAGTTGGTTGGCATATGTATTTCAGTGTGGATTGCTGAGGCCCAAGCTAGTACATAGCCTTTTAGATAAATTATGACAACTTGAAACTGAAAAATAGTTGAGATAGAGGGTCCATTGCTAAGGGGAGAGGCAGGACCAAGGATCATTCCTCTTGGGAGCAGTTTGAGTATCAGGTTTGTGGGACGGTTCTACATGTGACCTTTCCTAGAGACAGAGCTAAGGGGCTGTCTTTCAAGTCCCATAAAACACAGGGCTAACCAGAGTTGCCAGAGGAGCATGGAGAGGCAAATTCAGACGTCTTTGTAGGGTAGAGCCTGTGTGAAAGGGAGTGTATGTGAGACAGATGCAGGAGGAAGAGAGGCAGACAAAACTAAACAGGACAGGGAAAAGGAAGGAAAAAAGTTTTGTCAATGTGTATGATTTTGCCATGAATTGTTGATTTTATGTTTTTCTTAAGGTTCTGGGCAGTGGTGCTTATTTTAATATACTGCATTTTTAATGGCACATATTTTTCGTTTTAATGGTTGCACAGAGAAAATTTAAACCATGAGCCTAAATTACTGCAGCTCCAGGAACATGGCAGCGCTGAATTACTGCAACTTCTACCTATGATTTGGGTGGATCTGGTTCACAGCATCGTAAGACTTGCGGTATACTGGAAAGCTTGGTGCACAGGAGTCAGAGTGCGTGCATGTGGGCTTCAGAGGTGTAGCTCTAATGGAGGAAGGAGGACTCCTGGACTCCTCCTCTAATGGAGGACTGCCACAGAACTTTTGCTTTTGAGATGACTGTAGGCCGGGTTATCATTGGCTAGTGGTGCTGCCCCTTAGCACAGCACTGGGCTAGGAGGCAAGGGAGAAGAGTTTTTTTATGGGGTCTATGTCTTGGATTTATGATAGTGGAAGTGTAATTTGCTAGAGTCCCTCTACGTCCTATAACTTCGCAATTTTTAGAGGCGATGAATGGATTTGTTGAGTAAGGAAGAGTATTCCTGAGAGTAAACACTAGCCATTGGAGTTTACTGAACATGTGACTGGAAGTTGCTGAATTTTAATTTTAGCAAGAGAGAATTCCTCCATTTCTTATACACACTAAACACTTGCATATACCTCGCCTTTTTTTATTTGTCACTGACAGGTTATGATTTATTATCTCATGGGTGTATGTCATGAGCTGCACTTGCTGCATGGCAGAAGACTTTGGAGGGAAAACCTAATGAAATGGAGAAGTATACCTGAATTCTCCCCTCTTGATCCCAGTCTCTTCTGAGTCGCTTTTCTCTGGTTTTACTCTGTGGTTCTGCCAGCAAGCTGGGTTGATGGCAAAAGGAGATTAACTCATTTTTATCTTCTTTTGTGTGACTGAGAAAAATACAAGAAAAAATGTGTAAAGGAATAGCAGATTGGTTGAGGTCAAGAACTTGATCATCTGGTAGTGCTCTTTGGGAAGCTTCCAGTAGTTTGTGCTTTATCTTACCACTTCTTTATATAAATGTCAACAGCTACTCTGATTTCCCTTTCCGTTACCCATAGTATTCCAGTAACCATACCACATACACATTTCTTTGCAAAAAGGAAGGTGGTTCTAAAGAGTATCAAAAATGCCTGGGTGTTGCAAGTGTGGTTTTAAGAGACATCAGCAATCACACTTTCTTGCCTAAATAAATGTTTGGATAGTATTGTTATTTTTATTTATGAAGCTGGACTAGGAACATGAATTCAGCGTGGATTAAGTATTAGAGAAAGATTTGGGGAGATTTGGAATGGAAACATTTTCCATTTTAAAAGTAAAGGATGGATGCCATCATATTTGCAGTACATTTCAGGCTACTTCAACACATGTGGGTCCAAAATCTCGCATTCTGTACTCTCATAGATAAAGATTTTGCTGGCATTACGCATATGAATAAAGGAGAAAAACTTGGCGATTAGACTAGGCCAAAATCAGTTGTTCAGACTAATCAGAGCTACAGCTCTTGGTAAGAATATGAAAGCCAATAACAGAAGAACTAGACTTGACATACAACTTGCGAAGGTTCCCAGAGCATTTCTCACTACCCCATTGTTAATATGGAGCATTCTTTATTTGTCTTTGCTGGGCCAAATTCTACCTTAATTTATGACCATGCAATTCCACTGCCTCATCCACTGTGAATTTGACATATAGGTGTGGGCTAAAATCAGTCTTTTTCTTGCTGGGTCTATACTCATACAGATAACTTGCTGATTTTGACCTTAACTCTTATTCCTATGGTTAGCATGAGAGTACTTTGTACAGATGTAAGAAATTACAACAAAGATAAGAGCTTTCTTAGTTTTTTTTAATATAACTGCTTTTTCTGAATACGATCAGCAAATGCTTAACACTGTGTTTATAACTGACGAGGGGCCCTTGTAATCCACATAAAGGCTCTTAGCAGTAATCAAAATACTGTAGTACATACCTTGAACATAACGTGAGTATGCAGTCCTCTCCTTTTGCCTTTGCACACACTTCAATACTTACGAAAACAGTACCTGCCCTTTCCTATTTTTGTTTCAAGAGCCCTTGACCTTGTCTAGGCTTCTTTGTACACAGTATCAGGACTCAAGGGAGGAATTAAATTAATCCGTAATTGGTGCATTGTCATAAATGGGGAAAAGTGTTATTTGTATATTTTTTGTAAATATGTAACATTTAATGGCAGTTTTGTAGTGATGTGCTGTTTTTGAGAAAAGAATCAAATATATGTTTGAATATGCTTAATGTAACAATTAACTGTGATTCAATTGCACAATTAATAGCTTAATCAAAAGTCTTGTGCAATATGTAGTGCACACACATAACCAAGTTATCTGTTAGTGACCCACAACCAAGTTTTTGGCAACTTTTAATGATGCTGATAAACTGTGCAATATAGTTTTATCACAGTCTTTTTCAGCTCCCAAACATGTAGCAGGCAAACTACTGTATACGTACCTGTGTACTCCACTGCATCCAAAGGTATGCATTTGTCTTGAGAACCTGCACTACAGGTTTTTCTTTAATAAAATTTGGTTCTAAACTATTTGTTGCTTTGTTTTTCTTGTGAAACAGCTCACGGGATTTGTGGAAGGGAGAGGGTTTAACCAGTCCCCAGAGTTTGTGAATGTTTTGATTTGTCAGTCATCAGCAGCAAACTCACCAACTTCAGCAACACTGAAATCAAAGGCTACAGCAACCCTGCACCCTCTGCATTAGAATGGGACCAGTCCTTCTTCCTTTTTTCCCTAGGAACAGAGTTCAGCTGCAGTATAATTGGCCTGAGGGTGACACTCTGTGGTGAGGATGAAGTCATGCAATTACAGTAAAAGAAAAATAGAAGTATTTTCTCTTTCACAGAAAGGCTATCAAGTTGGAAGGATGGGAGTGAGAACAGACACAGACAAGCTGTTGCCATAAATGAGACACCTAATCAAACTTGCTAATATTTAACCTGAAAGGCCTCTTTACTTCAGAAACCAATTTCCATGGAAAAAGAATAAGATAATCAGTTTTCATCACTTCTATTTTCTTAGCTGTCCTCCTCAACACCATATTAATGGCTATGTTGTTTCAAAGCCTAACCATTTCAACATCTTCATAAATTATGTCTCTATAATAAAACTTCTGAGTCATAAACATCAGCCAATATTTTTTCCTGTTTTCCATTAAGATATGGCTTGCTTTCCCTTTTTTTTTTGTTTTTGTGATTTATGTTGTGAAAGACACTTTGCTTTCTTATGAATCCAGCTGCTGTGGTGAAAATGTTACTCCTTTGACCCTTATGCTTTTCAAAAGCTGAAGTAAAATTATGAAAAAAAGCTTCTCAGTACATTTTTAATGTGATAAAAGGATATGTTCTCACCATTACAACATCATGTCACAAGCTAATCTCAAAAAAAAAAAAAAAAAGCAATACATGCTAAAAAACAGATTTAAAAAGTAGTAATTTCAAAAAATAATTCAGTGACAAAAATTATCAGTCTATTTACAAATTAATAATGAGGTCAGAAATTAAGCTTTTCACTTCTTACGTTCAGCTCAGGACCATGTAGCTATAATTCTACTGAGTGAAGCAAAATCTAATTGGAAAATTATTTCCTTGTCATCAGGGGAGATTATTGAAGAGAAATATCCTTGATATAATTTATTTATTTCAATTATCTAGTATATTCTGAAGGAATGACTTTGCATTGTCTTGATGAGACAGATGCATGGATTAGAAAAACAAATTGAAAAGAATATGATACATTAAAGGAAAGATTGGTTTTGTAACTGATGGAGGAAAAAATTAAACAGTCTTTCTTGAAAGAAACCAGCTTCATTTGTCAGTAAGAAAAGCAATTTGTTGCAGACAATTGTAAAGAACTGAAAAAGAAGAAATAGTGCCCCACAAATTAGCTTGATATAGGTTGCAAGCTCTGTTACACTGATCATACCACACACGTTTTTACAGCAGCTAAGAATAGGTGCTTGGGGAGGAGCTAAGAAAGGGGAAGCATGTGAGGATACTTTCCCAGTATCCCCCTCCATCAGTTTGTGGATCTAGATTTGGAGCTTTCTGCTTCTGAGCTGGAAACTTTGTGCACTAGCACATAATTAAGTCTTTTCTTCCATGAATTTCCTTTATTGTTTTTGAACCTCTGTAAACTTCTAGCATCCATAACGTTTTGCGGCAATGAGATCCATCGCTGAATTATACAGTAGGTTAAAGTACCTCTGTGCAGCTGTTTTGAACCTGCCCCATTAAGTTAATATATTGGGTACCCAGACTTTGCATTTTATGGGTCCTGAAGCAGATGACAGAGGCACCAGAGATGGCAGATGGGTGTCTTTCTCTTTTTATCACTTGTTTTCACAAGTTCTTACACAGAGCAGTTGTCTTAATTTTGTCTTTACCATGAAGGCACTTGGAGCACTGGCTGACGTGTTATTACAGTCCGGGAAGTTTTGTTGCAGAAGGGATATGTTGTGTTGGTTTGGTCAGGAAAGGTCTAGAGCTATTTGCTGAATTTCAGACCACTGGGAATTTGCAACTTTTTCTTTGATTCTTACTATGCAGTATAGCTACATTTTTCTTGGACCTAGCCATTAAAATGCCATGATGTTGTTTGGGTTTCATCAGAGGTATGCCAGTGCTCGCAACTGTCTATGCAAAGCTAGATTGCTTTTAGGGGAGGGTAGGGAGCTCTTTATTGTCCCTCCACATGCAGCTCTACATTTACCTTCATCAAATTTCTTCTGACATTTTAATCACTGGTGAAGTTCTGTAAGGTGTTTCTGCAAATCTTTGTAGGTAGTTAGCTTCTAGTGTGGGATTCCAGAACTGACTGACTGCCACGAGAAAAAAAAAGTAGAATTTATGCCCTTTTTTAATAGTTTGTTTGTTTACCAACTTTACACTGGTTGTTTATCCTTATCAGGCCTTTTCTATTTCCCAGCAAACAGAGGACTCCAGGAGTAGATAGTGACAGTGACCTCAGTTCCTCATACTGGTCTGAAGAGGGGCCATGCACCACAGGGGCCATGCTTCTGCGCAAGGACAGTTTGCGGACCCTGTCAGAGCCCCTTCCCGTGACCGGCAGTGCAGCAGTAACACTGCCTCAGAGGAGCCTTCTGCTATGGGCTCTAGATGCACTGAATTTCCATTTTCCGTTGTAGGGGCATCCCCTAGATACAGATACTCAAGTTGCAGAAAGTCACTGCCCAGGTAGAGGCGGGGGGGAAAGACCTGATACACAGAAACACTGGTTCTAACCTAGCCCGGCTTTTTGGCAGGGGAGAACCGTCTTCCTTTCGGGGCGGCTGCTGCAGATGGCCTGCTCACGTGCTGCCTACTTCTTATACTGACAAACACCAAGAAACAGAAATGCGAATACTACTTTCTTTTGACAGGTAACTTTATTAATAATGATCTTGAATCTGTCGCACCTACCAGGTGCCAGTCTTTTCTCACACTCTGCAAGACTTTCTGGAGAATAAACTAGAAAGGCAGAAAGTTAGTTGAAGCTACTAAGAAAGACACACATTTGTAGGTGGGTCTATTTTGGAGGGTTTTTTTTTTTACATAAGTTTCCATGAATGTGTGTCAAAAAACTTAAATACATTGAGAAATACAGTAGAAAGACTATATTTACAGTCAATTATAATGGGCACTGCCAACATATCCAATAACAAAAATAAAACAAAAACTTTGTTCATGTTTCTTTCATGCTTTTTTCACAGAGATTTTTAAATATGATTTTGTTTTTTTAAAAAATACAATAAGGAAATAATTACATTCTTAATATGAGAACATTATCTTACAACATACAGCCTGGGCCAATTAATTTGAAAGTGACATAAATGAAAATTGATACTAAAGTATTCTCCATCTGAAAAAATCAAATTGCCACAATCATCTCTCTCATTAAAGAAAAAAAACCTTTGATCCCCCTAAATTATGATCTGTTTTTTTAAAAAAGCATCACCCATAACAAAAAACAATATAAAAAAGCACCTGGTACAGTAATAGGAGTTTGCTGAGGAAGCACAAGTGTAACATTGTCTCAAAAGACATGGAAATGCAATGGTTTAAAATACAAGAATTTTCTTTTTGAAAAAAAAAAGTCATACTGCTCTATTGCTGACTTTGCCTGGTGATTCTGAATGCTAAAAACATTGAAAATACAAGCTCTGTTGCTTTTTTATAAAAAAAATTGTACAGCAATAGTACTATTCAACAAAACGGAGTGTATTTCACAGCACTGAGTGTGGTCGGCAGCGAGGTTATTTCTAGGAGTTTGTTACTTTCTTCCTTACAAAACCTTGGCCATTGGATCGAATAGACGTGGCACAAAACGCGAATTGCAACGCGTCCTCGAGGGAAAGCCGAGAGATTCGCTTACGGCATATTCGGGGCTGGGGGTGGCTTTTGGGGGCCCGTGTGGGTGCAGGGAGGGAGCCCCGCGGCCGCAGCATCGCCCAGGGTGCACCAGGCACCCTCTGCCGTGACAGGAATTTGCACTCGGGTGTGGATTAAAAAGAAGCCCTGTCCTCCTGTCCTCTCCACACATCTCCTCCTGGGATAAGGGGTGGAAGCTACAATGCCAGTGTTGGGTAAATGAGACTGCTTCAAAATAATTTGGCTTTCGACGGCTCTGCAGTACTTGATGTGGGACCACTTGTTCATGGCAACAGTTACATCATTGCAAATGTTGACTAGAAGCCTGATTTGCATCATAAATATGTACAGATATAAATTAAATATTTATTGAAATATACAAATAAATAACTTAATTTGAAATAAAAAGCCTAAATGAACTTACTTTTGCTTCAAATTTGCTTCTGTTATTATTTATGGGATTCTTGATACTGTTTAGTCCATAGTCATACAGCATAGAGTGTGCCCTCCACTTAGGAGGAGTTAATAAGTAAGCAGATGACCTAAAATAAAATAAAAATCCTGTTTTCAATGAAAACTATGCTGACACTTGCTTCCTTGCTGCATTTGCGTTCCCATGGCGTACTGCATGAAGCAGACTCCCAGGAAGCAAAGAGCCTTTTGTAATTTTGCACCCCATTTCTGCTCTGCTAAGGTCCATGGGATCCCTGGCACTAATTTCACTTGGAAACAGGATAAAGCCCTTACAGGTGACCCATTGTGGACCTGCTTTTCAAAGGCCCTCAGCAGTCACCATGGCCTGATTTTGGGGAGCTGCTAAGTGCCATGTCTGATAGCTCTGCACCATGGTCCCAGGCCTGCTCATACTACCAGCTCCTGCAGGACGTCCTGTGGCATCCATCCGAGCTTGGAATACCAGCGTATGCTTCAACAGTTATATACGTTCCTTACTGGATGTAACAGGCACACTGTAGGCCTGGATGATAACAGGTTTTAATCCTTGATAACTTCCATTTTGCCATCTTCTGTGATTTTTAAGTGTGTCTTGACTAATTATCAAGATTCGAGCCCTAACGTCTTGTGATTATCTCAGACTACGAGTAGTATTTTAAATTTTTTAATTAAAGTCATTTTCTAGTCCTTACAGTTGAGGAGAAAAAAATCTTAAGAATGTGATTGAAGGTTCTCTGAAGGCTTAAAAAAAAAAACCACAGAGGATAGATTAAAAGAACCCAACTCATTATTTGGTCTCTCTCCTGATTTTTAAGCTAATCTTGAGATTTTTGAAGGACTTTTTAGTTGGCAATTTACTGCATGTAGCCTCAGGAATGATATGGATAGAGACAAAGAAAAACAGATTTATGTAATTTTACGGGCTAAAATGCAAGGCACGGTTTCCTAGTAAACAGAAATGAAGTCCTGTCTGAGAAATTCCCCAACTGTTTGTAAAATTGTTTATAAAAAGAGGCTGGAAATTATCATCCTTTCAGTCTGTCTTCCTCAAAAAATAATAGCTGAGGTCAGAAAAGGCTAAGGAAACCAAGTACAGCAGTGTTCTATAACTCAAGTTCAACAATACTGTATTATAAAAAAAAATGAAACAAGACTGCATAAGCTATTCTGAGTTGCCATTATCTGTTGAGGATTATTATTATTTTTTGAAAAATGAAGTAATATCTAAAAATACCTGCTTGGCTTTTCGAAATACAGGAACAAATCATTCTTAGATGACATGACCTTTGAAAATGACTGGTGCTTCAAAATAGCGATAAAAAGAATGTATTAAAATGCATTTGTGGAAGCATGGCAGCTTTTTATGTCACAATGACAAAAGCATCTGTCGGAAAAGTATCAAAAAAATGCTTCACAGCTGAGTTGTGTCACTCTGGGGTCTCTAATCACCACAGAGGACAGTGGCACTGAAGAGTCCTGACTTCCCAGTTCAAGCAAGTCATGCCATTTCTGTGAATACATTTCTTCATTTTTTTCTTTTGCCCTGTGAACAGCTAACAGCAAAGTGACTGCAAATGAGCAGGTCTTCTCTCAGCGACCGTTCTGGCAGAACCCTGAAAGTCAGTATTACCTGTAAAAGTACATCTTGTTTATTTGAATGATTTCACATTGGTCTTAAATAACGCACCAGTCTTCAGTGCTGTTCAGGCCATGTGAGGCAATATAATTAACATTGCTGGTCTACGTTGTTTCCGCAAAGTAGACTTTCAATTACAACAGTATGCTCCTTTTTACTTACTAACATTGTTTTGGCTTTTGGTTTTCATTTTCTGTACAAATGAAGTTGGAAATAAAAGAGTTACAGGTAATAAAAAGGGGCACACATAGATACACAGCAATACAGTACAGGGAATACAGGCAAATGAGGGCCAAGCTACCATTAACTTAACAGAATTATAAAAACCTCTTGTGTTGTATCACTTGATACCACTTTTTACAGATGAGTCTTTTGCAGCCTGTGTCTTGGTCCATAATAGGTAAGGCCTTTATGGAAAGTGAGTGGTTTTGCTATACTTAGGTTCCATTTTTCATCTCCCATTCCTGGAAGGGGGAAAAAAAAAGATAGGGAAAATGTTAGAGAAATCAGGGTATTTATTTCACTGATGGCATCAGCTCTGCTAAGGTCAGTAAGTTTTTCCACGGACTTTACTGGATCCAGCTTTCTGCCCACAAGTTAGTTAAACATGCTAACAAGTATGTCCTGATACAGTGTGTGCACAGCATCCACGCCCCTGGAGCTACATACGGCAGCTTCTTCCTAGTGCACTGCAAATAAGCCATGTTTGTTTGCTGCAGAAGGTACTTAGGCAGAAAATGTGCACCCTGCTGTTGGTCTAAAGCGCTCACTTGGAGCCAAATAAGAGAGAGGTGGATTTGGACTGTAGGAGTTAGTTACAAGAAAGAAACACTCAGTATTTCTCGTAAAGACAGCATGATTGTTACGCTCTTCAATTTTTTTTATTCTAAAAATCACAGCGGACGCCCGTTTCTATGGCTAAAAAGTGAGACTTACTGAGGTAGAGAGGCTTACAGGGCAGGGCAAGAACTGGCACTGAAGAAAAGCAGGTTAAGTAACTGCACGTTTTTTTTCCCATATACAATCTGAGTTGAGCTGTTGCTGGGTAAGTTAAAGAAGTCACTTTGCTTTTCCAGGCCTCAGTTTCCCCACCTGGTAGATGAGGACAGGAGCAGCAGATATGAAAAGGGACAGGTGCAGCCTAGGATACCCATGCTGTACGTGCTCACCGAGTTATGCCCTTACGACACGGAGGAAACACTGATCATACGAAGCACTCAGCCTCTAGCCTGATGTAATCTCTGCAG